CGGTGAGATAAAAATGTATGAAAATAATTTAAGAATCATAAATTTGCTTGTTTATTAACAAAAAACAAAACCAAAATAAAATAAATCATAAATTTGTTTGTTCGTTTGATCAAAAAAAGTTTGTGCTCAGATAAAAATTAAATAATGTAAGAACCATAAACTCATTTGTTCATTTAAACAAAAAACAAAAAACAAAAAAATATAAAAACAAATCTAAAATAATCATGAATTTGTTTGTTTGTTCAAACAAAACAAAAAAATTTATATAAAACAATACACAAAACAAAAATAAAGTTAAATAAAATAAATATTTTTTTTTTGTTTGTTTGTTCAAACATAACAAAATAAAAATAGATTAAACAAAAATAAACTAATCTCAATACCAAAATAATCATTTTGTTTGTTTGTTCTTTCAAACATTACAAAATAAAAAACTAAAAAATTATAAAAAGCCAAAAAGAATAAAATAAATAGTCTGACACTCATTTTGGTGCATCGCTACTACCTGATATTAAGTCTTCCTCATGTTCTATCTATAAACTGAACATGCACGGCCACAAACAGACCATGCACACAACAAACTAAGCTTTATCTGTTAAACACAGACGTGAGATCATCAAATTAATACACAAACTGAATCGTCATAATATTTATGCCCTTGAAAAAAGCCCTTTGCAGCCATTGTTTGTGCGATGAGCCGCTGTGAGTAATTACAGCACATTTAAATCAGCACTGATTGCCTTATTACATGCATGAATTAATTACTGCAGAGATAAATCCACCCTGCGCATCTGTCAGCTGCTCTTCTTTAACTCCAGGCCAATCACAACTGCACGACACAAACACACACCTGCTGGACGATGCAACTACACCTTCACACACTCATTCATTCGAGAAATAAAAAAACACTCATATAAGCAGGACTGCCAATTTACACTCGCTCAACAGCCACTTGTCTCAATTTGATCAAACATGACGACAAGATATGTGGTTATCCTGATATGAAAACAGCACTAAAACAGCCGGACATCTGAATAAACCTAACACCGTTTTGCTGACACTCGTATCCCACCGACATTCTGACAGATCCTTCAGGATTTCACGCAAAATGTCGTGGAAATCGCAGGATCTGCAATGTCAAGTTGGGATTATAATTAAGCAGGAACTACAGTTCAAAACACATGACTTGTGGAGTCATTCTAAAGTTGAACTTTAATCCAATAGTGTCAAAGACTTCCATTTGGACGTGTTTTTAAAGGTGCCATAATAAAGAAAATCAGGGTGTACCTCGAATAATAAGAGTTCAGTATGGAAATGGTGATACTGCGAGCATCAAACTAGAGATCTGCGCGGGACTAAATTTTGAATCCCGCTACTGCCCGCACCCGCCAGGTTTTAGCCCGAACCCGACCGCTCCCGCTTATATTAAAGAATTTGTTGTCCTGCCCGACCCGCCCCGTTTCCTGCAAAACCGAAAATCACCCAGCTATACAGTCCAGACAGCCAAGCTGTCTGTATAAACACACACACACACACACACACACACACACACACACACACACACACACACACACACACACACACACACACACACACACACACACACACACACACACACACACACACACAGCACCAAGCACACACACACACAGACAGACCAAGCTCTCTCTCATTCGTGCGCGCGCGCACTAACACACACACAAACACCAAGCAGACACACAGGCGTTTGCTGTTATATCAACTCAAAGGCTTGTAATACCATGTATCAAGAACCAATGTAATACCTAAAGGTTTTATATAAAGGTATATAAATACTGAGTCGTGCCAGCTCCGCACATTACTCTCGGGCCGATTCCGGCACGGATGCTTACGGCCGCCGCATCTGGCCCGATTGATTCGGGCCAGAATCGGGCAGCGAGTCCACAAGCATCCGGCCCAAGTCCGGCAGCCGAAGCCGGGCCGAGTAGTAAGTCTCCGGCAGGCGAGAATCTAGCCGGAACTGGCCCGAGTGTATTTTGCTATCTGGGAAAGCTCTCTCTCTCTCTCATTCGCATAGCAATATCCGCGATATTGCTAGACAGCCCGCCCAAATTAAACCCGTTACCGACCGCTCCCGCGATTTATTCAGAAGTTTATTCCCGCGCCGCGGGACAGCCGCGGGAATGCAGACCTCTACATCAGATACCAGTGTTTCCTCGTTCTCATGTAAAACCCTGGTGAAAAATAGGCCTGTCAGAACACAAAGCAGACTGTTGCGTGACTCCCAGGGCACACCCTCAAGATTTGCATGTACTTTAGGTCACGTTTAATATCATCCGGACATCAAGAGGAGCTGCATCATCAGGAGAAGATCACTAGACAAAACACAGACTGAAGTGTTGCTCTAGGACAGGTGTGTCCAAACTCGGTCCTGGAGGTCTGGTGTCCTGCAAAGTTTAGTTCCAACCCCAATCAGACACACCTGGGCTGGCTAATCAAGCTCTTACTAGGCTTTCTGGAAACATCCTTGCAGGTGTGTTGAGGCAAGTTGGAGCTAAAATCTGCAGGACACCGGCACCTACAGAACTGAGTTTGGACATCCCTAGGATCATTAACACACAAGCCACAGGCTGCGTTAGATAAGCCACAACATTTCCTAGTGAGATAACAATGATTGTTTTCCTTCCTTTGTCAAGTTTCTATTTAACTTATCTATGTGGGACTCTTATTTTGAAAATGGGAAACACAGATGGTTTTCTGTGTGTATGTTAGGGTGTGTGAGACAGAAAGATAAAGAGCAAGTGTATATTTGTGAATAATTTCACAGCGAAACAATAAAATGCTGCACAATTTGCTACAGTTTGAGCAAAAACTCGCTAGAACAAAAATGTGCATCATCGTAGACAGACTGATTCGGATAACAACAAACGGCTGAAGCTAAAAGTTCACAGTCGGACTGGTGCACAAGGCCATGATGGCATTGAGGGATCAGATTCACAGCACAAGTCATATTTATAGATGCCATAGCTCATCACTTGACCCCAGAAACACATGACAGAGGTCAACTGATGGCCAAATTCATTACAATTAAAGCACAATACACACTGAGGAAGAGCACACAGACACAAGAGGAAGAGATGCACCGATCACAGGGATATTAACTCGTTATTGGATCATTTTTGGATTTTAATTCAGCTGATCTCTATTCGGTACTTGCATATATCATAGTAAAAAAAAGTGTGTAAACCGAGCATTAACTGAGGCCAGAGAGTGAGCACAGACAGAGGGATGAACAAAGAATCTAAACAATTGGAAAGCTTCAAGAGGTGGTGCAGGATGTAATTTTAAAGGGCCATGAAACCCCCTCATTTCAGCAGGGTGTTTTCACACCTCTACTTTGGAAAAAGTCAGAAAAGTGGGCGTGTCAAGCTCTGTTTAGGGGGGAGTGTCGGAGGAAGAAAAGAGGCATAGTGTGGGAGTGTGTATTTGGGCAAGCGCAAGTTTCAGAGTCAAAACACACACACACACGGGAGAAAGTGACTGTGTTTACATGGACATCTGTAGTCAAATTATTGGCCAAATGATTAAATGGTGGACTTTAACTGCAGTTTGGCTCTTTCATTCAGGGAATTCATTCATGCCCCTCGCGACAAACAAGATATTTGATTCGAGGAACTGCTCTAAGCGTGTATTTTTCATGCAATGTTTGATACCGCACGGCGAATCAGAGAAAAACACCCTCTGCATTTCCCAGAAACTTAGATGCACACGGCAGGTAGCGTCAGAAAGCCGCGTGTGTTATTCCGGTCACGAAATGCGGGGAAAATCCTACACGAGGTTAAAGTTTGGTTGTGGTGGTAACATGTTTACACTCGGTGCAATAGTTAACTTAGTTCGATACGAACAAACTGAATAAACAAAGAGCACTGGTTACTCACTTACCAAATCTGTAGAGACAGGACAATCCACAACACCAAAGCACATGTTTTGAGCTGTTGACAGTCGTATATGTGTCCCACACTGCTAAAAACACTATTAGGACACCTATATTTCACTAAAAAGTGTAAATTGGTTGTTTTTGCGTCATTTTAAGCAAATTCGTACTTCCGGTTTGAAACGAATTTTTGAAGCTGCGTCACGGTCATGACATAATAGCGTGTATTCCAGCATGCAGACTGGACGTCTGTGCCAGAGTGTGTCTTATTACGTCTTACAGTGTGCTGCATTAATGCATGAGTAAAGCTTGGTTCAAACCAATCAGCGCGCTCTATTGTGCAACTTCATTAATATTCATTACTGTCACAGTGTTTAGACGACAGAGACGCCACGTTGTGTTGGTAAAACAAGCGTGAAGTGTTGCTTTTATAGTTTGCTGCAGTTCAGTTTTGTTTTCATTTTCTCTCTGTGAGAGCTCAGCTGGAGTCACGTGTGGATTAACAGTGTACGCGACGCGCGACAACAATAACTTACGTGTCTAAGGAGGATTATTGTTTACCTGAGAGCTGTTCTCATCTGCAAACGCTGAGATCCGGATTCGCTTGTAACGTTAGTCTCCTCTTCATAAAGACACGGCTCTAGTTGCTGGTGATTGTTCTGTCTCTACAGATTTGGTAAGTGAGTGACCCAGTGCTCTTGGTTATTCAGTTTGTTCGTAACCAAGTTAGCTATGGCCCCAAGTGAGTTTAAAGTCCACCATTTAATAATTTGGCCAATAATGCGACTACAGACGTCCATGTAAACACAGTCACTTTCTCCCGTGTGTGTGTGTGTGTGTGTGTGTGTGTTTTGACTCTGAAACTCAGCGTGCCCAAATAGACACTCCCACACCACGCCTCTTTTCTTCCTCCGACACTCCCCCCTAAACAGAGCTGGACACGCCCACTTTTCCGACTTTTTCCAAAGTAGAGGTGTGAAAACCCTCTGCTGAAACGAGGGGGTTTCATGGGCCTTTAAACATCAGTAATCGGTGCATCTCTCCACAGAGGCATGCTGGGTAACTGATCAGTAATAGTGAGTCTCACCCTTTCCTCCAGGCCGCTGTCTTCTGCAGGCGAGTGTTTTCCGTCGGGCAGGTCTTTACAGACGGGCAGTGTTTTCTTGAGCGCCGGCTCGCGGTTGAGCGTGGTGTAGCCCACGTGCTCGTAGATGGGGTTGATGGTCATCTTGGAGATGTACTCGGCTGCTTTGGTCTCGATGTAGAGCGTGATCAGACCGTCTGTCACCAGGTCGTGGATCGACTCGAATCTCTTCTCCCCCACAAAATGCTTCCCGTCGTAGAAGAGGCGGAAGTTTCGGGTCTGATTCCCAAAGCTGAGGGAGAAAAGAACAACGTGAGAGACTGACACACACACACACACACACCGCTGCTCACAGATGATCCACTGAGATATAACAACATGGACAAACACACACACACACACACACACACACACACACACACACACACACACACACACACACACACACACACACACACACACACACACACACACACACACACACACACACACACACACACACACACACACACACACACACACACAGATCTCTGGTTGTATCAGTTTCCCGTGTTTGGTTTTGTAGAAGATTGAAGGCAAGAGCTCATATGCTGATCAATATGATGACCGGATACTATGTAAACACACACACACGCACGCATGTACATACAAGCGCACACATGTAAAAACAAACACACAAACAAAGACACACATAAACACACACACACACACACACACACACACTCACGCACGCACAAGCACGCACGCATGCATGCACGCACGCAGGCATGTACGTACAAGCGCACACATGTAAAAACAAACACATAAAGACACACACACACACACATCACACAGGTAAACACACATGTAAAAACAAACACACAAACAAAGACACACATAAACACACACACACACACACACACACACACACGCACACACACACACACACATCACACAGGTAAACAAACATGTAAAAACAAACACACAAACACACAAACAAAGACACACATAAACACACACAAACAATATCACCATATATATCATCATATATAACAACATGGACACACACACACACACACACACACACACACACACACACACACACACACACACACACACAAACATGCGTGTAAAAACACACACAAACTCACACATGCACACACACATACATAAGCACACAAACAAGCGCTCCCACATAAGCGCACACATTTACACACACAAGTGTACACACAAACACAAACAAGTGCACACACACACGCACACGCACACACACACAGCAACAAAAGCTAATGTCATTAGAGCCTGATGGCTATAGAGCTCTTTGATGCAAGACTTTTGCACACAAGACAAAACACACTTCCTCTGAGGAATTACATGAAGAACAGCAGAGAAAGAGAGACACACACAAACACACACACACACACACACAGAGACTGAGACAGTTTGGACTAGAAAGCCACCACGTGCCGTGTGTGTGTAACAGTGTGGCGTTTGTTCAAGCGAGCAGATTAAAGGGATTATCTCTAGACTTTTTTTTGTCTCGGTCACTCTCACAAATACAAACAGACAAACACACGCACGCACGCACCCACAAACAAAAATACACACTCAAACAAACACATACACTGGAACGTTTCAGTCACGTCGATTAGCTAGTTTGTCTATAAGCTGACATACGAGCGATCCGCTGATGAATCTTGGCTTTAAAACGCTCCAGTGTTCCTGTATCTGTTTACACTCAGTAAACAGAGGTGAGTTTGGTGACTGATGACCTTCACAGCCAATCACAGTCATTTCTGTTGAGCAGGTGAACACAACAGCAAATCAGCGCTGCTTAAGAACGCACTCAACAGTGCTTAAATGTTCACGGGAAATGGACATTTTTTAAATTTCAGTATCGATTGGTACCAAATTCCAGTATTATGGCAACACTAACAGCCTCCATATAAAATTATTTAAATCCAAATAAGAGATACAGCTTATATACGTTCTGTAAATAATAATATTAAATAAAATTGCAGTGTATCTAGTCGACATAGTCTAGTTTAATTTGCATATAGCATGCGATTTGAAGATGTGCCTATTCTACTAACATACACATCAGCCAGAGCTAAAATAAACCAAACACACACACACACACACACACACACACACACACATATTCGGCAGGATTAGGTTTAGACCATGAAGAGAGAGTGAAAATCTGGGTTAGAGAAAGCTCAGTCAAAGGTTGCAGGTACCGTAGAGCTAAAGTGTATGTGCCCGGCTGTCTCTGGCTCTCCCGGATCAGATAACTTCCTTCAGCCACACTGAGCAGCAGGTCCCCGTCCTCTCTGGAGATCAACCCATGATACCTTCAATACACAAACCAATCAGACAGACGACATTAATAATGCATCATTGGGTCTAAATCCCAAACAGCTTTCAAAGTGTAGCGTACTTCTTACCTGTTTTTTAAACATTACAATTGAAAGAAAATCACTTTTATAAGCGGTTTAAACACAGTTGTGTGACAATATGAACAGATTCTAATGGTAAAACGTATTATTTTATTGTTTATAATAAGGGTTAATAAACACAGTCTGCAGAAACACTTTGATTGACATTCTCCCTTTGTAAGTGTCATCAGAGAAGAAAAGCCCCACCCACTAGTGACCATCTCTCTCATTAGCATAGGACTAGGGCTGGGCGATTTTTTCGATTAATTCGAATTTACGTTTTAACACGATTTAAATTTGAATTAAATCGAGAAATCGCGATTTAAAAAAAAAATATATTTAACACATTATAATGGCACCAATGCGCTTTGGTTCACTCTCTGTATGAAGCAGGAAGCACACCAGAAGCGCCTCTCGGCGACGCGCAGCGCAGCATCATGGAGCGCCATGGATTTTAGAATTCTAAACAGGTTTCTATACACACACCGGCGCCGCCCAGCCACGATTCACGAAGCAGTTCATATTTCAGCCGGCCCACAGAGCGCCATCTTATTAGTTTCTGGCGCTTCTGGTGTGCGACTTGTTTGACTGCCTGTTAAAGCGTGAAGTCATGTAGGATTTTACTTGTTGCACGTCTGTGTGGATTGTCAAGACATATTCCCTCATCAAGTCGATAAACTCGATCTCAACATGAAGGACGTAAAAGCCTGCCATGTGATATTTACATAAATATGTCTTATTCAAATCTTCAGCATTGCTATTTATCCGTGAATTTGTTTTACATTTATTTACATCTTGACCGATTTTTTTTGACATGCCCATTTAAAATACAATGTTCCTTAACCAGATGTTTTTTAAGTTACTTTCAGTCATGTTGTTTTAATGTTTTGAGAAGACTAGTTACACAATAAAAAAAGTTACACAATAAAAAAAAAAAATAATCGAAATCGTGAATCGGTCAAACTTTATAAAAAACCTAGATTTTTTATTTTTTTTGCTAAATCGCCCAGCCCTACATAGGACGTTAGTTTTGTTTTTGAATCTGCCACTATGCCGACACACAGACATTTGTAGCTCCGCCCTCTTCTGAAAAGAGCACAAACTCATTTGAATTTAAAGCGACAGTCGTCAAAACGCCACAAATAGGATCAAAGCCTAAAAGGTTCAGTTTCAGAGAGTTAGAAAACATTATATGTATAGTATTTTGAGCTGAAACTTCACACACACGCACGCACGCACGCACGCACACACACACTCTAGGGACATCATAGATTTATTTTAAATCAATGTTTGTTTTTATTGCAAAGTATACTGGGCATTCTTTGTTATTAGTCTGAAATCAGAGAAACTGCTTACATTTTTTTATAATATAAATATCTATTAAACATCTATACTCATTTTGTAAGACATTTAATGTCATTTCACAGTAAAATACTGTAAACTGTATACTTTAAATATAGCATCCAATGAATATATGAATGAATAAATGAAATAAATAAAATGAAACTCACTCTCGTCCGTAATACTTGGGCCGATTCTCCACCTGCAAACAAAAGACGTGTTGTTAAATATGAGATATTATTAACCAAAACTTTTAATCAAGATACTTCATCATTATTCAGGATCACACTTACACAATATTGTCTGACGTAATGCGAGATCTTTTATTTAAAACGTCATACTATTCTGCTTTCTTTTTCCTTTAGTCTGTGACGCATCAGTTTGTGCAGGTTTACACATTTATAACATTCATAATGTCCAATAATAGAGATTTAACACAGATTCTGAGCTGCCTGAAACAAAATCATCCAATTGTTGAAACATTAGCATAACACAGCCCAAAGACATACAATACATACATACAATTATGTTAAGGGATGTTACAGTTTTTTTTTTACATGTTTGAGGTGTTTGGCCAATCACAGTGCAGTTTTAGCTGGCCAATCAGAGGTTTTAGGCTCTGGCCAATCAGGGCACTATGGGATTTTAGGGAGGGGTTTAACTGGCCAATTAGAACACACTCTTGGCTTCTGGCGAGGTTATTCAGCTGGCCATTCAGAGGACTCTGGGCCTTTGGGGAGGTGATTCACATGGCCAATCAGAGCCTTTTGGGCTTTGAGGGAGGGGTCCAGCTGGCCAATCAGAGCACTCTGGGCTTTTAGGGAGGGGTTCATCTGGCCAATCAGAGCACTCTGGGCTTTTAGAGAGGAGTTCATCGGGCCAATCAGAGCAATCTGGGCTTTTAGGGAGAGGTTCAGCTGGCTAGTCAGAGCACACTGTGCTTTTAGGGAGGGGGTTCGGCTGGCCAATCGGGGCACTCTGGGTTTTTAGGGAGGGGGTTCGGCTGGCCAATCGGGGCACTCTGGGTTTTTAGGGAGGGGTTTGTCTGGCCAATCAGAGCGCTCTGGCCTTTTAGGGTGGGTTTCAGCTGGCCAATCAGAGCACTCTGGGCTTTTAGGGAGGGGTTCAGCTGGCCAATCAGAGCGCTCTGGGATTTTAGGGAGGTGAATCAGCTGGCCAATCAGAACACAGAATATTGACAATATTGTAAATAAATGACAATATTGACCGCTAAATTATGTTTCAATTTAAGAAAAGGAGGGCAATCTGTAGCTAAATTAATGCGTTTAAATATATTAGTCAAAAAATATAGGTAAATAACTAATATATATATATATATATATATATATATATATATATATATATATATATATATATATATATATATATATATATATATATATATATATATATATATATATATATAGAGAGCTCTCTCTTTCATATATACATAAAAAAACTCTATATATATATATATATATATATATATATATATATATTTTT